GATACTTCATCTTCATGATTTGTGAGTAACTTTTGACTTTTCTTGCAGCTCACTCTGCGCCAACAATTTGTCTGGGAGTTTACCAATTTGGTTACAAGACTTCAAGAATCTGACATTCCTGTATGTCTCAAATTGTTGCCCCACCTGTAAAAATAGATATGTGCCCTTTTACATCTAATATTACAGTAATGTGATGAGAAATTTTCAGAGGTCTTGAAGCCAACCAGTTCTCTGGTCAGATTCCTGATGAGCTTGGTAAATTGACCAACCTAGAATCATTGTAAGACCCTTTGCTTCTTAACCATTGTTCAAAAATCTTTGCTTTTTTGTTTTTGGAAATAAAGAAAAGTTTTTGGTTGTAATATCTTCTGAAGCTGGATTTTGTAGGCATCTTACGTCCAATCAATTTACAGGAAGCTTGCCTACCACTCTCGCTAGACTGGTCAACCTTAAGGATTTGTAAGTTGTTGCTCTACTCAGAAATTGAAAATTTCGAAAGCTTTTGCCTTTGTAACTTGAAATGCTCATCTTTAATTAGACTTGAAGATTAGTAACTTCTTGAGGGCAGGGACACATTTTGATTGAACTGAAATCTGTTTGGTTTAGAGCTTCCGTGTTGAACCATTTCATCGACTGTATATATCTCTTTGTAGTATGAATACTTTGGCTGTAAATTGATTCGACACTTAAGAAATGCTCACCTCATTTTATGAAGATATATAGTCAAGAAAACATATATAGCAGTCCAATAAGATAAGTTTACAAAGTTCTAAACTAGTTGTTTGTTTTCATTATTCAGTAGAATAAGTGACAATAACTTTACTGGCATCATCCCAGGATATATTGGAAACTGGTCTGGGCTAAGAAGGCTGTAAGCTTGTCCTTCACCGCTAATTGTAATTTCTCTCTATAGTTTTTGTTTCTGCACCATCTAACTTGTGTTGGTTATGATCAACAGACATCTATATGCAAGTGGACTGAAAGGACCTATCCCTAATGCAGTGGCCCAACTAGAAAATCTTACAAAACTGTAATCAACTACCTTCAATAGATTAACAAAAGGACAACTGAAACAAGACTGATGTTTATTTTCATATGCAGGAGTATTGGTGATACGACTGGGATAAACTCCTTTCCAATTCTATCCAGCAAAGCCATCAAAACCATGTATTTAATTTTCTATTTCTAATTTTCTATTTCATGTCAAGCTGAAGTCTCCCTCCCTGTTCCAGGATTTTGAGGAATGTGGGTTTGTCGGGTCCTATTCCTCCTTACATTTGGGATATTGCAGACCTAAAAATTCTGTAAGTTTTTTCTGGTCACAAGTGAAAAGACTGTCAGTTTGAAACTTGTCAGAACTAACATACCAAGGAATTTGAGTACGACTAGATCAGTATACTTTTGACATTTTTATCTATGTTCTTATACTTGTGCATATATAGATTGTCATGGATTATTGGGTAAGTACATGAATAAACATCATAGAGAGGAAAACGTAACTATTTATGAGAGTGATATTCAAGTATGAGAGTGATATTTAGGAACTTTTGAGGAATATATACTCCCTCCGTTTCAAAATATACGTTGTTTTGGAGGTTTTTTTATGTTTCAAATACAAGTTTTTTTGATAATCCTAGCTACTTTCTAACTTTATGTATTTTGCAGTCTTTTTTTTATTGGTTAAATTATTTTTATTATATATATAAGATGATACTTTTTAGAAGAAAAGTAATTTCTTAATACTCGCACATTTAGCCAAAACAATTTACATTTTGAAATAGAGGGAGTAGATTTTATGCAAACATATACGATAATTACACAATTATGCGTGTGTGTACCAAATTTATTTATTTACTAGGTGACTCGCCTGCGTACACGCGGATAAC